TTTAATGAAAATAATATTTGAAACATATTAAAATAGAGTTGATTAAAAATTTAAATATTTAAATAATATATATATATGTTGTATTCTATGAGTTTTAGATATATTAAATATTATTTGTTAAATATAAAAAATTGTTAAGATTAATCAAAAACTTTTCATTAGACTATTAAAATAAAATATTTACAAACAAAAATACGTTACATTTTTATTTTATAAAATTTAATTTAAATATAAATTATTTATTCAATTAACATTTCCTCATTTCAATAACTAATAAATAATTAATCAACATTCAATCAATTGAAATCAGAATTGAAAACGAATCGATTGACTTTTTTTTTTAAAATCAATCGACTTTTTTCAACTGTTATCGAATATATATTTATCTATTGAAAAACTTCTATATTTAAAATGTAAAACATATTTTTATATCTAAATTTATTAATAAAGCTATTTTTAAATTAATATCATCAGTTTTTTTGTTAAGAAAATAAATGATATTTTCTTGATTTATTTTTTGAAAAGACTTGTCCGAATATGAGAAGAGTCTTTTTAGAACTAATTCGTTTTCTAGATAAAATCTTTTTCGTTAAATAAAATAATCATAGAATAGAATGTAAAAGTTAATTATTATTCTGTCAGTTGTTAAAGGATTTTTAAAAGAGACCAAATAAAAACAAAATATAATTAATTTCGAAAAAAAGTAAATTTTTAATTTAATAAAATTGTTTATTAAATAATAAAAAATGTAAAAATCTAAATTTAGTATGGCTGAAAAAGTTCATGATACAATGCATAAAGCATTTTGGGATGTTTTAAGAGAAGATTTATCTAGTGAACCACCTCGTTATGAACATATTATTAAATTAATTGATGAAGCTAAACAAGTTTGGTTTTTTTTCAATTAAAATAAATAAATTCTATATGATGTTTTTTTTAAAAGGATCTTAAAAGTGTAATATTACCACATCAAACAAATATTAAAAATGAAATAGATGAATCAATTAATATTGATACTATTAAACGTCGATTTGAAGCAAAAGAAGCAAATCCTCATGAATATACAAAATATTTTATTGATAGAATGGCAAATCTTTGTGCTCAATCTCGAGATGAAAATATTGAAAAATTACGAACAATTGATGATCCAACTGAATGTTTTAGGTTTTATATTAATTCTTAATTTA